CATCACAAAAGATTGACCGGCAGAACGGTGGCCGCAGCAGCTTTCCGCTTGGAAGTTAGTAGTTTGTAACGGGCTTTTCGCCTAAAGAGGCACGCCTGAAAGCTGGTTGGTGATTCCAAAATCAAAAAGGGAGTGAGTCTTCTGTTCCCATTTAGGGGTGGAAAATCAAGCATCTTGAAACCACCAACCAAGAAATCTGGTCAAATTGGGATACATTTCATCACGTCAATGCTTAGTTGGAACGTGTAAACTATGGTACGGGTTGATATGCCCTCCGGTTATTTCAAATAGCCATGGACAATATCCATGTTTTAATAGTTAACTCGTTTATTTGCTACAAATGAGTAGTTTTCCAGTACAGAAGGGGAGTATTCCTGCAACATCCCCGCAAGAAGATGCGAGGTGCTCCCATCACCATAGATTATGATTACATAGTAAGTCCTTTGACCTGGGTAAATTATCATATTTCACTAACCTGAATTAAGGCATATTATGATATATTATGGGGATAGTTACCCCTTACCCTTACATTCACCATGATTCCAGGGTTCGGTCGCAGTGAGGTCGTTATAATATACCCAGCTTGATGTCCCTTACATCTATAAAAATTGTTCACGACCACGCTAGTCCCCTACCCTTCACATTCTATAGATTCGCCACTAAGGGACTCCAAAATGATGAAATATCCCATCATATTAAGCGATGATTTCAAGGGTAGCATTTAATCCTTTAAGACTGGATGAATTCGTAAGTCACCGACTGGAATAAAATCCAGTCGCATGCAGTCTCTAGCCATAGCAGTTGCAAGCGGGTCATGTGAAATGTATTGAAGCATTGGAATCCTTGACCCAAGATGCTTAATCACTGCGAAGCAATCCTCAAGCTCTGGTGGAGGGGCATTCTTGACTGGACTATGACTATCTCGGGGACCCTTCCTATGAATCAAGATGAATCAAACTTACTCAACTGTAGGTTGTTTCTGCATCATAAAAGTTCCTAGTCCTGGTCGACCATCTCCAACAATTTTCAGCTTGTGAACTTGTCAAACAAATTGTCACCTATTTCATCTTGGCGTCGAAATTTGACCAGCTGTATGGGAAATAGGAAACTGGCTGGAGCGGAACCAACAGCATCCTCAACTGCAACAGCTGAGCAACTCATCCTGATGTCACAAAACCCCGTAATTACCCTCGAACATTTGACATATTTGACATAGCTATGGAAAATTGCCCATTTATAGATGATTTATGATTATTTACCTGTTCGATTCGTGATTTTCCACAGCTACGTTGACAAAGCAACGCCTCAACGCAGAAAAAACAACCCCGGTAACCGGGCGTGCTGTGCAACGATCCATCTTGGGGGTTCAATAAACCCTGTGGCATTAACAAAAAAAAGACTCGGAAAAATGAAAAAAAACAGGAAGAAGCAGTCAATACATTGCAACATATGGAAATCAACTTGGGGCTGACTTATTCTCCCTCCATTGGAGTCGCTGCAGAGATGCGGTTTTGAGTCGTCCTAGTTATATTCACCATCCATTTGGATCATGGGGAAGTCCCAACATCCAGCCACTTTCCGAATGGCCATCTGGCTTCCCGGGACCCGTCTGTGAATCGAAATGTCTCACAGACCAAAAGAGGAATCCATTTGAGGTATCCATCCTTTAGAGTTTGATACTGAATTTTAACCGATCTCAAAGAGATCAATCCCACATAAAAGAACATCGCCAAGAAAACAGGCAAGTTTCTGGGCAACGAGGATGAGAAACTATAACTGGACATCAATGCAGCATTGGTGGATAAATGATATGCCCATTTTGTTGGTTGGATGCCAACCTCTAGCTGCGCAATACCAAATAGAATCTGTACGCGTGTTGTTTATTGGTTTTCCCCTTCAATTTGTTTCCTGGTTTGTGATTGAGCTATGCCCAAAAAATTTGGGAGTCAACTTGAACTGTCTTGGCAGTTTCATGGCAAGAAACAAAGATGTTGTTCATCCTTCACATTGGATAATTTCTGAAAAAATTGGTGCCTTGAGTATTACACTGATTGTACGTAAAACCCATATTTATTCAAAAATACGTTAATGCTAGGAAATACATAATTATTTTCTTGACAATATTGTATCCGCCCATGTCGATTGATTTTAAGGTTCCATGTTGATTTTTTCCAAGAACCAATGTATATCGATGTATAATATTATATATATATGTATACATAAATATACATATAGATATATCCAACCGACCTTATCAACATGCATCAAACATTGGATGTCCACTTGTTGACAGTCTTCTCTATAGATGGAAAAAACTGATACACTCACATGGCGGTCCTACCAAAGCTGAATTGCAAGGCACCGGCGGCGGTTCAGCGACAGTCGGGCGGGGAAACCAATCTGGGGAAATCCGTGCGTCTTGCTACTTGAAATAACGAATGTCCAATTCGAAGTACCCTTTGAAGATGCAGATGCAGTTTCAACTGTGTGACAATTTACATATATATATATATACAGTATATATTTTATAAACTGATATTGATATATATATATAAATATTAATCGATCTGGATCAATATATACATATATATATATACACAGCATCCCAACACCCCCTCCCCCCCGGGCATGGTTCAGCAATAGTACTAAGCCCCTCCCCCCGAGAGAGGAGGGGGGTAGGGGCGCATGTGGTCCCTATGATGTATCATATATGCATGCTATTAAATAAATATATATATATCAAAATCAAAAAATTGAATAAATATCTATATATATATATGTGATCTATGGTAAATACATGTATTGTATATATTATATGTGATATATATATATATATATGATATATGATATATATATATGGTATACATATGATAAATAAAAATGATATATAGGATATTGGATATATATATAAGATATATATATATATAAAAGATATATATATATGATATATATATATAAATGAGATATATGATACATATGAAATATATGATATATATGATATATATATAAGATAAATATGATACATATGAAATATATATATACAAAGATATATTTGATATATATTATATATGATATAAATAATATATATATATGATATATTTGATATGTATGAAATATATATATATATATAATATATGTTATATATATGATATATATCATATATATGCTATATATAAAAATATATGAAAATGATATATATGATATATGTATATAGAAATAGAAATAGATATAAGAGATACATGATAAAAATGATATATATGATATATATGATATTTATCTTTTATATGATATGTGTATATGAAATATATATATATATGATATATCATATAATACATATATATATATAATATATATATACATATATATGATATATATATATGATATATATATATACATAAATGATATAAATGTTTTTTATGATATATAAGATAAAAATGATATTGAAGAAATATCAAAAATATAGAATACATATAATACATATATATTAAAAAAATATAATATACACTTATATAGATGATAAAAATATGGTGTGTATATATATATAAATGATTTATATGTAAATATATGATATAAATATATATATATATGCTATGTAAATATATTTACAATTATATATAAGATATATAAGTATAAAAATTGTAAATGATACATATGTTATATGTGATACATATGATATTTATGACAATATGATTTATATTATTTCAATATATATATATATTGTTTATGATATCTATGATACATAAATATGTGTATCTAATTGAAAAATATGATGCGTATTAAACATGTATATATATATATATATATATGATATATGTGATAAATATGATCAATATGGTTTATATATATGAGATATCTTTTGTATATATGATACATTTAACTTATATGATATATATGATATACATATGATGTATATGATCTATATTATATTGAAGGCATACATATGATAAATATTGTATATACGAGATTTTTTAAAAAAATGGTGATATATATGATATATGTGTTCTATATTTAAATATAAATAAATGAAAGTATATATGATTTATGCGGTATGTAAATGATTAAAATGATATACATGATATATATATGATATATTTTTTTATATATATATGATATATATTTTATAAATGATGTATATGGTAAATATGGAAAATATGATTAAATGTATATATATATATATATGATCTATATGGTCTACATGATGTAAATGATAAAAAAAAGATATTTATGACATATATTTTTTGTATGATATAAATAATTTAAATGTTAAAACAAATATATATATATATGATATATTTGATATGTATGAAAAATACATATATTTGTATGATATATATATATATCGTATTTATGATATATGGTAACCATAATATATATATATATATCATATATGATATATATATGATATATATGATATATATGATATATATATATATGATATATAAATAAAAATGAGATACATATCTATTCATTTAAATGATATATACATACAAATGTTCTATGCACATGATGTTTACATATTTGTTTGATTTTTGATATCTATATATATAAACGCGTGCTTCACAAATGCTATATACGAAATATACAATTTATATAGATGACATATATGATAAATGTGATATATATATTATATCATCTATATCATATATATATATATATCGTATATATGATATATATATATGAGATATATATATATATATGAGATATAATTATCTGTATATGTATGATATTTGTATGATATATATATGAAAGTGCAAAGGCACTTGCCTGATGTGAACGCAGAGAGATCGCATCATGCCAGATTTGTCGGATCAAAAGGGGTGACCATAGGAGCCCGTTGTCAGCTTGCGTTGCCAGCTGTTAGGTTGAGATCATCCCCTTAGGCCGCAGAGTCTTGGGAACTTTAGCTACTGCCAGGTGCCACCGCTTTGATGGTAGGCGGAGCCTGAAAGAGGCAAAATCCAGTGGAGACGAAGGCCTGTGAGCGCGAGAGCCCTCATAGGATGACAAGCAGTGGCGCCGGGGGTGAGATCACCAGATCTCGAGATGGTGTGCCACAGTGGAGTGGCGATGCGGCAAACTTCCAGGACTATGAGGATGCTGCCTTGCTGTGGGAGCAGGGGATACCATACCACAAACGGTATCTATGTGGACCTAGACTAGTGGGGGAACTTTCTGGCACAGCCAAGAAGTTCGTGCTGGGCAAACGGGCCACGTGGGTGTCTTTTGAAGGAGGAGTACAACACCTCCTTAGCCACCTGAGAGCCAGCCTGGGAAAACCTAGGATACCTGAACTCTCGGAGATGCTGAACAAGTACTTCCGTCAGAGCAGCCGCAAGAAGATGGAGACGATGAGTGACTACATCGTCAGGAAGACGGACGTGTACAACAGAGCACGCCAAGCCCTATCGAGGGTCCAGCAACACTATGAGTCAGGGTCGCAGTGGAAAGCTCAACATGGAGAACCACGGTACTGGCAGGACAATGGCTGGTCCTACGGTCGCTGGCAGCAGTGGCATAGCTCATGGCAACAAGAACAAGGACCAGATCCGTCTGAAGAGAACGATGCAGACGGAGAACCAGGTCATAGACAAGGTGACGATGCGGGGGAAGCTGAGGAGGCGGAAGAGTCCCGCAGCCGTGAGGAGAGCTATGCAACGGGTCATGGGCCATCAGGATCGTGGTCAGCATACCGGGGCACCAGTGACAGCTGGAGTCATACGCAAGAAGCAGAAGCATGGACCTTGTCTACACCTGAGCTCTTGCCGGACTTCTTGCAGGGCTGGTACATGCTGACCGACGCAGGACTGGATAGCCATGAAAAGAACATGATTCAGACAGCCATCCGTGGGAACTTCAGTGTAGCAAGGGTAGCACAAGAACTACGCAACCAGTGGCCTGAAGATGATCTTCGACGCCGAGACCAGAACACCAAACATGTTGGTTTCTGGCAAGAGCCGGTGAACGATGAGGAGGTGGATGAGCCGGAGGCATTGGGTCTGACGGCTACTTCTCTGCAGCAGCTGGGCATGAATGAAGAGGGCATCGTCTTGATTGGAGAAGCTGAAGAACAAGTGCAAGATGCATTGGCCACCATGGACCAAGCCAGGAGAACGCTCCGTGATGCGAGGGCCAAACAACACCAGGTCAAGATGAGCCGTCAGTACTACATGAATGCCCAGAAAGGGAAAATGAGTTTCCAGGAGAAGTCCAAGACCACGAGCCCTGGCATCACCTGCTTCAAATGTGGAGGACCACACAAGATTGCCCAATGTCCAGATCGACATGCGCCCTCAAAGGCATCAAACAACATGGCTGAAGAGAATGAGGCACCGTTTGTTTGCTTCCACGAGGGTGACCAGTGCATGGCGATCACCGAGGTGGGCAGCCGAAAGAGCACATCTGAGGCCATTGCGGCCGGGCTGGCTGTGGTAGATGGAGGTGCCACCAAAACCTTGGCATCAGTGCATGCGCTCGAGGCCATTCAGGATGGGAATTTGCAAAGGTATCAAAATGATCGTGTGATTCATGTCGACCCCAGCAATCGGCCTTCTTTTGGTTTTGGGAATTCTAGTAGAGATACTTGCTGCAGCACCACCACGCTGCAAGTGACTGCAGATTCCAAGCCTGGCCATTTGACCATCCATACTTTGGATCGGGGCACCGGCCCAGTTTTGCTGTCAGTTGAGACTCTGCGCGCCCTTGGAGCGGTTGTGGACTTTCAAGAGGACCTGATTTGTTTTCGCAGTTTGGACAAAAATCGAATCATTCAGGCTGAAAGGTCTAGCGCAGGTCACCAACTGCATGATACCACTCTCCGATGACATGTACAAAGATGCCGTAGATAGCTGTAGGCCAGTTCCCAGTTTGCGGGAGGACAGCTCCTCTCATCACTGGAGCCTGCTGGCGATCGAGAGGTCAAAACACAAGCACAGGTTTTTGGTCAAAGTAGGAATCCTCAGAAACAAGAGTTTTTCAACAAAGAAGTTTTGCAAGAGCATGTGAAGTCGGTTTCAAGTGAACTTGATCGGAAGAGCCAAAGCAGTGACACACAACACCGCAGCAAGCCAGGACCTCAAGGAGCCCTCCTAGCAACAGCGTGTCAGTTTTCCAACGAGAGCTGTGGTGATGTCGCGCCCAACCAAGAAGGTGGAGCTCATCCAGGCCATCCGAGATCTCGGCGAGAATCCGCCGACCTCTTGGAATGTGGCCGAACTCAAAGTGCGGCTGACGGAGCTGGAGGAGAACAAGGGCATCTACCGGCATCGAGGCAAGACTCAGACACCACTCCAACTCTGGATGATCCGTCTGAACGAGGCCAAGAAGAACAAGGCCACCTTGCAGCTGTTCACCAAGGAGACCTTGGGAGTGCCCATCACGGGCAACGAAGTCATGGACGAACTCACCCGGAAGTGTGTGGAAAAGATCTATGTGGTGAGCAAGCCGGACGGCTCGGATGGCATGGGCTTCGGTCGTCACTCCAGCAAGAGCTACATGGAAGTGCAGAAAACCGACCCAGGGTATGTATCCTGGGCACAGAAGACGGTGGCAGAGGGCGAGACTTGTGTTCGTCTGGCCCGCTTTGTCAAGTGGATCGAGATGGAGAAACACCCCGAGCACATGGACACCTATGCCACAGTGCCACCACCTCTTGTCAGCAAAGTGAAGAAGGAGGAGACCGAGGCAGGCAGCTCCAGCGAGCAACTGCAGAACCAGTTGCTGCAGCAGATGACAGCAGTGCTCTTAGAGGTCAAGGAAGAGCTGAACAATTTGAAGGAGGAACGTCCACACAAGCAGCGCAGCGACACGAGTTCGGTGATGAGCTTCGACAAGGTGGAGCAGGTGCCGAAGTGAGAGGATCTGAGGCCGGGCTGAAAACATGTTCTGTACCATATGAATCAGAGAGAACAAGGCTCTCTGACAACATGTCACGGTTCTTTGAACATGCGGCCAACGACATTGGCCCTCAGGTTTTTCACAGTTTGACTAGTGAGCGTAGGACCCTTTTGATTGAGGTCGCATGCTCACCAGAGAGCCGTCTGAGTTCCGAAGTCCAGCGTCAAGCTGGATACACAGAAGCAGCCGTACGGTGTTCACACTGGAACAATTGCGATTTGGAAACTGGGGCGGGGGTGAAAAATGTTATTAGTCAGATTGATTTACATCGGCCTCGTCATGTTTGGATCAGTCCTATCTGTGGGCCATACTCACCTCTCCAGGCGATAAATCAGCGTAGTCCAGAGCAAGTGCAAGAGCTTCAGGAAAAACGGCGGCAAGCGCTGAAACAGTATGTGGGTGCCAGTTGCGTGTATCAACACTGCATTCAACAGGGCATCCATGTGACTTGGGAGTGGGCTGAGCGATGTCTGGGATGGCGGTTGCCTCTGATGCAGAACCTCCAAAAGAAGTATCAACTTTTCTTTGGGGTGACTCATGGATGTCGGGTGGGGCTGAGAGACCAGAAAACTCAGGGTCTGCTGCACAAGGGATGGAAATTCATGACCACTCAACAATCCATGGCTGACCTTTTGGAAAGGAGATGCAAATGCCCCCCAAACTATAAGCATGCGAAGTGTGAGGGGGGTAATGCGGGAATGACGGCCTATTACACCCCCGAAATGGTGAAACTTGTGTGTCAAGGGATTTTCAGAGAGATGACCACTCAGTTGCTGCAGCGGGAACTGGAAGGAAGAAGCTGTCTTCCCACGCGGTTTGGAGAGGGAGGTTTTTGTGTTTGCCATGACCTCAAACAACATGACAGTCATGTGACATGTGGGTTTTGTTGTCAAGGGGAATCGGATATTGGGAACCACCACCAAGGGGAAGCCATGATGCAAAGCCACCTCAAAGGGGATTTGGGGGACCATGAAATCAACAAAAAGTTGTATCTGTTGCATGCTGCCACGGGTCACTGTAGCACTAGGCACATGGTTCAGTCACTCCAACGACGGGGGGTTTCCAAAAGGATCCTTGACATGGCCAAAAATTTCAAATGTTCCATCTGTGATGAAAGCAAGAGGGTTAACCACAAGAATGTTGCTTCTTTGGAGTCCATACCCCCAAAACTTTCCAATGTGAGTGCGGATGGGGGTAAGTGGTTTCACCCGGGGACCCAAGAAGAATATGAGTTTGCTCTGGTCATTGATGAGGGGAGTAGGTTCAGGGTTGCTAGGATCATGACCCAAGGGAAGAAACAAACCATGAATGCGGCTCAGTTCCTTAACTACTTTCATGAGGGTTGGGTGCAATATTTTGGATGCCCCAATGTGTTGCGGTTGGATCCCAGTGGTGCTTTTCGTAGTTTAGCGGTTGAACGTTTTTGTGATGAAAAGGGTGTTTTTCTGGATGTGATCCCAGGGGAGGCTCACTGGAAAAATGGTATCTGCGAAAAAGCAATAGATAGCGTGAAAACCGTTATGACCAAATTGGCTCAAGCAGACCACACCATTAGCGCTGCAGGAGCGCTCTCAGAGGCCATACGCACCTGCAATCAACGTGAACTGATCCGTGGGTACTCACCCACCCAGCATGTCCTAGGTAGAGCACCTGATGAGACTGGAAGATTCGTTCACAGTTTGACAGGTCAACAAGTTGACAATCTGCTGAACAACCCAAGTGAAGAATTTGAGAAGGACATCCACCGACAAAAAGTGGCTGAACAAGCCCTTGCAGAATGGCAAGCCCAGGAACGCATCAAAAGAGCTTTGAACTCCCGGGCCCGGAAGGTTTATGACTACCGTCCAGGCGACATGGTGTACTTCTGGCGGAAACAGGTGAAAAGTCAAGCTGCAGGGAAGAATGGCATGTTTTTAGGACCAGCCAGGGTACTAGCTACTGAGTCAAAGCGGAATGACCAGGGAGAATTAGCAGCTGGGAGCTCCATCTGGTGTGTCCGTGGCCGGCGTTTGATCAAATGCTGCCCTGACCAGTTGCGGCGAGCATCTGCCCGAGAGGAGCTGTTAGAGCACATAGCTGATCCACAACATGAGGACGCACCCTGGAATTTTCCGCGCGTGGCATCAGAGCTTGGGGGAAATGAGTACTGGGATATCTCCAGTGATATCCCAACTGAGGAAGATTGGAAGATGGCACAAGATCCAGCGTCCTCAGCACAACCTTCCCGGAGGCATTCCACCAAGCGGCCAGCTCCCTACAGTGCCGTGGCCCCAGGCCGCCCAGGGCGCCAAACACCACAAAATGCCTCCATGACAGTGGAGGAGCCAGCCGAGGCATGGTGGACCATGATAGAAACTGAGTGTGCAACTACACCAGAAGGAGAAGCCTTCTGGTCAGAAGAAGGTGCCAGCGTTGAACTGTCAATTGACATGCCCACCAGCAAACGAGGTATACAGCACTTTGTCAATGACATTGAGGGTTTCTTTATAGGAGCACTCAAAACAAGAGCCATTGAAGTCAACGAAAAACGACTGTCACCGAAAGACTATGAGGCTTTCCAGGAAGCCAAACAGAGTGAAGTACGAAACTTTGTGGCGGCAAAAGCGTTTGAAGCTCTTCCTCCGGAGTTGAGACCACCCCTTTCCAAGACGATTGGAATGCGGTGGATACTCACATGGAAGACCAAAGAAGATGGTAGCTTTAAACCAAAAGCCCGAGCGATTCTGAAAGGGTATCAGGATCCCAACTACGAATTTCGTGCAACAACGACGCCGGTCATGACCAAACAGACACGGCAGTTTGTCCTACATGAGACAGCACGACGAGGCTGGCGTGTGAAAAAGGGCGATGTGACAGGAGCCTTTTTACAAGGACGAACCTACCCAAGTGAACTATACTGCATACCCTGTCCAGAGATCCTTGAAGCTATGGGTTTGGGAAAAGAGGAGATCGTCAAGGTCAAGAGAGGCTGCTATGGACTGGTGGATGCTCCACTAGAATGGTACCGCAGCATTTCAGAGTACCTCCAAAGTTTGGGATTGGTGAAATCCTGGGCTGACCCATGCTGTTGGTTTTGGAAGCCACAAGGGGAACTACGTGCGGTGGTAGCTGGACATGTGGATGATTTTCTTTTCTCTGGGTCAGAAACAGACAGCGAGTGGAAAGCTATCGAACAGAAGATACAACAACATTTTCGCTGGTCAGACTGGGAGGAAAATACATTCACTCAGTGCGGTGTGCTTATTGAAGCACAGGTCGATGGGAGCTTTCATTTGTCACAGCCCCATTACATGGACAAGGTCAATGAAATCAACCTGAGTGCCACGAGAAAAAGAGAGCTGCATAGCCCTACAACAGAACATGAGAAAGGACAGCTTCGCTCCGTTCTTGGGGCCATAAGTTGGCATGCACAACAGGTAGCTCCACATTTTTCAGCTGAGGTAGGATTACTTTCGTCCGAGGTAACAGTTAGCACAGTTCAGACAGTGGTCAAAACAAACCAACTGTTGCAAGCAGCAAAGGCAAGGCGAAATCACAAAATGGTGGTACACGCCTTTCCCCAGGAAACAAACCTGGGGCTATATGCGTGGTGTGACGCCGCGGGTCAAAACAGGAGGGATGGTGGTAGCACTCAAGGAGTTTTCATAGGAATAGCACCCATGTCTCTGTCCAATGGTCATGTGGAGAAAGTGACTCCAATTGGATGGTTAGCTGGCAAAATAGATAGAGTGGCAAGGAGCCCAGGTGCAGCTGAGGCAAAAGCAACGGTTTCTGGAGAGGACATGCTTTTTCATGCACGCTATCAATATGGTGAGTTTTTGGTTGAATCCCCCAACATTTTTGATGTGGATGGTACTGCTAATGTTGTTCCTGGTTGTGTTATTAGTGATTCCCGAAATCTTTTTGATAAGTTGAACACTGAAGAGTTGAGTACCAAAGGAGCTGAACGTCGTACAGACATTGAACTTTTGTGCATCAAGTCGTCGCAGCGAAACAATGGGCTCGAAGTGAGATGGGTCCACAGTGAGGCTCAATTGAGTAATGCACTCACAAAAAGTGGTGCCAAAGAACTAGACCTGTATTACCAAATGGGCCATCGATGGCGAATCGTTCACGACCCAAAGATGATGTCAGCAAAGAAAAGGAAAAGCCAGGGCATAACAACCTTTGAGCAGGAAACCGATCAAGATCACATGAAGCACCCTTTTTGACTGTTTTTGTTTTGTTTCAGAGTTTCTGTGGAAAAGCAGGGGCGTGAAAGTGCAAAGGCACTTGCCTGATGTGAACGCAGAGAGATCGCATCATGCCAGATTTGTCGGATCAAAAGGGGTGACCATAGGAGCCCGTTGTCAGCTTGCGTTGCCAGCTGTTAGGTTGAGGTCATCCCCTTAGGCCGCAGAGTCTTGGGAACTTTAGCTACTGCCAGGTGCCACCGCTTTGATATATATATATATACAAATGATATCTATAGATATATATGATATATAAACATGATATATCGGATATATATATATGATATATTTATATATGATATATATATATATGTCGCAGTCCGGTTGGCCTGTTTATCCACTAGCTTCTGTTTTGGACCTATCCACTAGCCTTTTTGCACTGGAACTATTTGTAATATGGCCGGAACTATTTGTATTGTATTAATGGAAATGTTTGAAACATGAATGGGGATCAGTCCTAGCTGCAAACGTGAAGACCACATGGCACATTAGTAGAGCCACACCAGATATTCATCAGTGAAACATTTTCAGCCCAAAGAGCCATAAATCCGTAGACGCAACAATAATGCATTCATACATCCAATCTGGCAGAAGAAGGGGATGCACCATGGGAAAGTCGTCATTCACTTGTTTGTTTTACGCTTGAAAGTGAAAATTTACCAGGTTTAAGGTTTGGATCTGTTCATGCACTGGGTTTACTGCCAAAGATTTACCAAAGCAGAACAAGACTAGACGTTTAAAAAATGAAATTCAAAAAGGTTCGCAAACACAGCGCTCCTTACGAAACATATTTGGGTCTCAGGTGGGTTCGAACAAGGTCTCTGAACATTAAGTGAGATCAGAGCTGCACGCCGCATTCTGCAGTGAGTCGTCAGTTTTTCACATTCATAACAATCACAATAATTACTCATCAAATCAAAATACAGCATGTATGAAATTTAGTCATTGCTTGTGGCAGCAGTTTGATACAACCTCATTGACATGGCTTAGCCACCGGGAAAGTAGCCATAAAGCAAAAGACACGTGTCAAGCCAAAGCGCAAGGTAAAAGTGAGGACAAGTTTGACACTGCGGCGCGAAAGTCAGCGATTCGGCTTTATCCACTTGCAACCGCAAGGGGGTGCAGCCTTAAGGTTCTTGGAACAAGCACACACACACACAAACACTCACGCGTCTAGGGCAATGTCAATCATGTTCAAGTACCTAGTGAGGCTGCAAAGGGTCGTTTTGTGCTTGTTATGAGATCTGCTTCGCGCGCACAAGCGCTCAGGTACTGATGCTTTAAAACCCAGAAGCCGACCCTTCAAATACGGCCCAGAACCCAACGCGCTGAGCCAACCACATTCCTTGTATTGTATTGTATTGCATTGTATTGGTATTTGTATTTGTATTTGTAGTTGTATTGTATTGTATGTATATACATATATATAGATATGTATTATTATAATTTATTATATATTATCATATATAATATTTGAATGAGCTCATTCAAGGCCCTTATGATGTGCAGAGTTCCAGCGGGATCAAGACCTCTGAGGCATGCCTCGTGTGTAGTTCAGATACTGGATTCTGGAATAGACAATTATAGACAAAAATCACATGTCAACAAAATTATATATCTGTTTCAATAGATTTCAATAGACAATTATAGTCAGTATCTGAAAAAATACACCCAGAAAAAATCACAGAGATACCAGTTACCGAGCCTGCCGGGCCTGCCGGCATGATCGACGACCAATTGGTTGCCTGTGGTACCCCAAATCCATTAATTTACAGACACATTTTTCCATATTTTTCCTATCAAGATTGCCATTTTCCTATCCACACTATAGCTTACATCCCCTGACTATAGTGACTATAGCTTACAAGAAACACTGCGCATTTAGGCTTTTTAAAAACTTTGCCTTTCTGTCACACCACCGCAAGTGACCCGCACAACTCTGGGCCCGGCCAGAGACGGCAAAGTAATTCTTGCCCACCCAGGGTTTCGGACATCTTCCAACCAGCTGTATGTACGTAGCATTTCTGCGCAGCTCTGATATTTTTAATGCATTTAGGGTAAAACAAGGGAGGACAGACTGGTCAGTTCATTTTCTCGTCAAAGTGGCCAACAAAATTTCAGACCAGCGAGTGAAGTGGGTCTATCTGAAGTATGTTCACTAAGAAAATCAGAATATTTACATAATATTGGGCGTTCTTAAAATGGGGGATCCCTCAAATCATCTATATCTAAGTCATGGATGACCCATGACTTAGTATTAACGCTTAACCGTTAAGCCATGGTGACACCTGGGGATCCCACCTGTCGCCAGTTGTTTCGATGGCCAGGCTCCCTGGTGGTCCACATCCCTGGGACTGCAACGCCGAGACTACCAAGACCAGGCCGTCTTCGGTCAGTGCATTTTTCGCGGGTCGTTTTCGTCGAGACGGTCGCGCATGGTCGCGCATGGTCGCGGGTGGTCGGAGTTCGCACGAAAATCGCAGTTTATTTGGTAAACTCCACATTCCCAGAGAAAGGAACCAACTCAGCCAGATTGCTGGCTGTTTCAGGAAGAATAAAAGGTAAGGATCATCAAACGGTCCTCGTGACTGGCTAGTCACCATGTTACAACCCACTTGTGAAATACCTAAGACTACAACCAGTTTCAAATCAAATTCCACCCGCACGCAAGTTTGTCATCGCTGTCGAGGGCATCATTGGAAAAAATCCTTGGTACATCTTGGTACACTTGCCTTGAAAATCTTGAAACAGAATTCGAATGGCAACTGAATTCTGTCATGAAATCCCCACAAGTGTTTAGAAGATGCGAGATTTCAATGGTGGAAAATGTCCATCTGCCAGCCACGAGGCCGACATCCCGTGACCATCTGGGCGAAAAAAAAACTCAAAATCTGGGCCCATTTTTGGGGGAATGCTTCCCCTAATGACCTAATCCTATAAGAAACATTTATAGAAGCTATAGTGTTTTTTTACGAGCATCATTCGTATTCTCTCTGGGAACATGTGCCCACCTTTAGCCGATGACAGCGGGCATAGGCAGCGCTGTCCACCGCTACGACCAACCCCATGGTCCTGCTTTGTGCAAGAACATGGTGCTGGCCAAGGTATCCGATTCACACCGATGCGATGATACGATCATCAATTTACCAGTGGCTATATTATAATCTTCAAATACCCCATAGGATCCATGTATGGTATGTATGCTAACATGACTGGGGTCTATTGATGGGATCCATGTTACCATATATATATATATATATAGCAGCACCATGGATCCTATGGGTACTACCTATCCTCCTGGTCCAGCAAAATATCGATGTGGGAAAGCCAAACAAAAACACCATGTGTAGATCAATTTCCTAACTGAAAACTGGTGGGGATTTCCAGATCAGCAGTTCTCAATTCATGAACACTCTTCAGATTCCTCCATTTCGATCCAGAAGCCAAGAAAATCAACCACACCCAGTAATTTGTGAAAGGAGAATGGTCCTCAAATGAAAGGAATCCTTCCCCAAAAAATGGCATAGTGACTATTGCTCCAGGGCGTTGTTAGATTCATCTCACACTGCCTTGGAGTGGTTTGGAATGCGCAATATCCAGGGCGCAACGACCATTGGATCATTGGCTTCTTCCAATTTGTTTGGGCTTCAAAATGGTTGTTTCAGGTAGGGCACATGGCACCCCAGGCGAAGTCTATAGTCACCACCAGATACAAGTTGTCTCTCGAGCCAAAACATTCGCAAGTCCCAAGTCCCAAGGTATCCCAAGATAACTTAAATAATCATGGGCCGAGGGATAGCAAAGAAGCATCCATTCCTTCTGCCCCTCAGTTGCTGTATACTCGCCACGTTGTTCAGCTTGTCACTTTAAGTATCGGCTGTCCTCAAATACCAGCGGTCGGTCGCTTCAAAAATAAATGGTCATTCCTCAAAGCCTGGTGCGGCAGTGGACATGGCCTGAACGCAAGTCGTGAAAAACGTCAATCTCTGGGCTCAATCTAAAGTCAAAGTCAGCGGTCCCTGTTTTTTTTTAAATATGTTTCCTGCAACTATTCCCAGAACTCCATTGAATCATAGGTTTGTTCAGACCCCAACTCTTGAGGGAAGGATCAAAGAAGGTTGATGTTATGTAAGTGCCCCTGGACACCAAAAACATCCCAAAAAACTGGTGGTTTCAACCCATCCCAAATCATAAAATCTTGGGATCATACCAAGCTGATCTGATTTTTCATAAACTCCAGTGGCAACAGGGCTTCAGCCACCCAAAACGCACCGAAAGATGTGACCGAGTTTGACAGGTGATGAGGTACGTACATTCAGCTACCCTCTGGTAATTTAACAGTTTGCTATTGAAAATGACCATTTATAGTGGATTTACCCATTAAAAATGGTGATTTTCTATAGTTATGTTCGTTTACCAGAGGCTACCTTCTAGATCCATCTTTGCGACTGGACATGGTTTCCATTGGTTTCCCATGGTTTCCCTATTCAGAATCCGTCTTGGAGTCTTGCACAAATGACGTTCCTTCTTGAACAATGCAAATCCATGCCAGAATATATCCCGAAGATTTCTGGGTCATCGCAAAAACTCAGATCTTCAAACCTTGTGCGTCATCGGCACGCTGAGGCACCAGGCGAGCATTGGAAAAAAAAAAACGGTCGAGCGGCCCCCGCCTTCCCGTCCGTCCACGGCGGAGCTGGGAACACGACGAGGCACAGCTTTGGGCTTCGCTCTTTCGGCCGGCGCTATGTGAACGTTGCGAGCGTTCTTTTTTACGGTCTCTGGTGTTGTTTTGTAACGGATCGGTGGCAATCATCGGCCACGCAAAGGAATGACTGCTGGTGGCAGGTGCATATCCTGTGGTGCTATACCATTGGTCCACCCTGTGCACGTTGGCTGGGATTGTGCAACACTTGTCGGAGAATCAGCCTGGTTCCAAGTTGAGATGCTTCAAACGAACCAATTGATATGGCAAGGAA